TTATGCAATTTTAACAAATGCTCAAGTGTTACATTAACTTTGAAGCCTGGTTCAGTTTTTCCAATGGTAGTTACACAGCGAAAACTTTCCACGAATAAGAAATGCTACGTAGCAATTCATTTGCTATGTTTATTTTAGGAGATAAGCACATTGCACGTTCTATATGATTCAGATCGTAGCCACAATAGATTATGCAATTTTAATAAATGCTTAAGTGTTACATTAACTTTGAAGCTTGGTTCAGTTTTTCCAATGGTAGTTACACAGCGAAAACTTTCCACGAATAAGAAATGTTACATAGCAATTCATTTGCTATGTTTATTTTAGCAGATAAGCACGTTGGATATGATTCATTTTCTGATTCAAGGAACGGATTACGAGTTGTTAAATTGTAAAAATTGATCTCGTTGCCCACCTCTAATTTCAACCTCAACCATTTCAACTATGAGAAAGCAACGTGTTTACATGGCTCGGGTGTAAACATTTCCCGAACGAGAAATATTTCGCTTTCGTTGGTGTTATCGGACCGACTGCGAGACATTCGGATAGTCCCAGCCCGATTTCGACGGATTGTTTTTGCCGAGAGGGGAACATGCGTGGTCAGGCGCAGGCATTCGTCGTGATCCGGAACGGTAACTGTCAAAAGTGTAAATAATATATCACTGACCGATTTCGGTACTAAAACATCCCGACGACGACGTGTCAGGCTAGGGCAGATGGCTCCACACTTTTCGAGTAACACCGTTGCACGCACCGCCCTTCATTAGTGCGAGCAGCATAGCTGCACTTGACAGCTAAGGCCAGTGTCTTCGCACAAAGGCAAGGATATTCCGGTCCCCGTCGATAATCGCCTGGCAATAACGCGAACGAATTAGTCTCGCCTAAAATCCACCTTTGTATTCGAAAATAACGTTTAACGCGATCCACGACCAGCGGAGACGTACGTCCCCGCGATCGGTTTCACCGCGAGAAAGAAAAAGAATTTACCTCCGGGATGAAAAAAGCTCGCAGGTTCGATTCGTTCGTTCCGATACGATCATCGGTCGGCCCCGCGCGGCTCTCGTTAGTTTCCACCGCAGACTCGCATCAGCATCGATAACACCGTATATCGGCTCGAAACCAAACTAGACACCCCTTGCTCGTCTACGATCGCCCCCTCCGCGTAAAATGCAAACCGTACAACACGACCGCGCGATGGAATGTTCGTACGCGAGGGTCGCTACGACACATCGCGGATATGCACCATGTCCTTGACGAGAGCCTCGACGCGAGTCCTCGGACCACGGAATAGACACGCCGACGATTCACTGGAACTCTCTGATATTCCGTTTGGTAACATATAAAGGGATAGAAACAACGTCGGTTTATGATAACACTGTTGAAGAGAGAGAATCGGAACGAGCCGCCATTAAAATTCGACCGACAGCGACAGGCTGCACGAGTTTAGAGCGAGTCGGGGGCCGTGGCTACGGCATGCGCCGCTTGTTCGTTATCTCTCTCTCTCTCTCTCACTCGCTCGTCGCGCTTTTCCCACGGTTCAGTGTCTCTTCTTCGATAGTTCTATCTCTCTCTCTCTCTTTCGCTCTCCTTTTCTCTCTCCCGGGGACCGCCTATCAGCGTCCTCCCACGGCCGACACTGTGTACTTTTTCTTCGATGGTAACACGTATCTGCTTTTCCACATCTCGGGTTAGCAAAATGGCCGCCGCCGCGCGAACGAAACCGCGACGGCGGGAAATTTGAAACGAGCCGAGCCCGATCGACGGTTTTAAACTTTACGGGACTTGAAACATCAAAAGATTAAAAAAAAAATCACTTTTTTTTCTTTTATTAATATTTCAGCGATTCCGAACAATTTTACGCAAAGAAAATTGAATTTGGAGCACTAGAAGTGGTAACAAGAATTTTTTGATAAAAGAAAAAAAAAGAATGAAAATTTTTTTTTACAAAGTTTCTTCTTTTCTCGCGAAAAAAGTTCGACGACACGAACTTAGTGAAAATAACACGATAAAACTGTAAGAAATGTAAGGAAATAAAAATTCGGTGTAAATTAGGTCGAACTATCAAAAAACACGTTTGAAAAAATTTGAATTATATCGGCCCAACCGTTTCTGAGAAAAGTGGTACCTTTGTACCAAAAACCTAGGTTTTCAGGAGACGCAAAAAACTAAAAAGTTCTATATCCCGTTCGATTATCGATACAAATGTTATCAAAATCGATTAAAACACCGCTTTTTCGGAAATTTACTCTCTTCTTTACCTTAGAAAAAATTGCGTTTTTTTTTTTCAAAAAATTTTGTTTACCACTTCTAGTACTCCAAATTCAATTTTCTTTGCGTAGATTTGTTCAGAATTGCTTAAAATTTACTTAAAAAAAATTAAAAAACGTGATTTTTTTTAGTTTTTGATGTTCCAAGAGTCTTAAAACTGCTTGAAGTTTGAAGTTTGCTGATATGTTTCTCTCGTTTTCTGCTTTGTAAAATGTTCAAAAGAGGAAACGAGAGAATTCTCCCTTTTGTTGGGCAATTTTAGACTTTCCCTTTTTGCAAAATTAAGGTCTTCCTCTATTCTTTAGAATCTCTTCTGGAACCTCTGGAATCTCTTATTGTACCTTTATTGCTCATTTTTTTAGAATCTGTGTACATTTCCTTGGAGGAAAGATTTTATTCGAAAATTCGAAAGATTTGTTTCGCATTTTTATGGTAAAACTAAAAAAATCGTCTGAAGAATACAAATTTGAATCCTAATTAGTGTTGACATACCGATATTCCTGTGAAATTTCGGTCTCATACTTGCTGATGTATCCCATTCGCTGTCCTCTTCGAGTTTCTCTACGACGTTTTCAATTTACAACACTACTTATTTTCATGCAGAATAAGAATCTTTACAATTTTTTGTTCAGTATGATTAGAATGAGAGTTATAGTATGAAACGAAATCATTTAAACTTGAACAAATTCCTACAGTTTTGCATATGGTAAATAAATATACATAAAGAAAGTAGTCTCTCAAAAGTACTCTCTCTTAAGACTACTTATTTTCATGCAGAATAAGAATCTTTACAATATTTTGTTCAGTATGATTAGAATGAGAGTTATAGTATGAAACGAAATCATTTAAACTTGAACAAGTTCCTACAGCTTTGCATATGGTAAATAAATATACATAAAGAAAGTACTCGCTCTTCAATCCTTTAAATTAATGTAGTAGGTACTCCGTGTGTTCTATTAATTAGTTAGCGCTCAAATGAAGCTAGAACTGCAGTAACATAAATAGGTGATTGAATTCGTTTCACAGACCATAATCTACCCAGAGATCTATCTAATTTAAAAATTAAATTTTTCCTGTTTACATTTTTCTGGGTGAAATTTCTTAATAACGCTAGACTGTAAAAATTACGTTGAAATCCCAAAAGTTAGAGAACTTTGAACCGACCTCTGTATAATATACTCTTACACTGCAAACTTTAATGACGTATTTCGCCAAATGGCATTTTTCAAGCTGGTTACCACGATATCTCGAGAACAAAGTGCCTCTCTATCATCTGAACTAAAATAAACTCGATATCTGTTCGTTTCATTTTTTCTTTTTTACACCGCTCGACGAAGAAATATCGAATGTTTTCTTCCACAAACTGCGACGTTTCCAATTTACAAGACTACTTTACAAGACTTATTTTCATGCAGAATAAGAATCTTTACAATATTTTGTTCAGTATGGTTAGAACGAGAGTTATAGTATCGAACAAAGTCGACCGTTTGAACTTGAACAAATTCCTACAGCTTTGCATATTTTAAATAAATATACATAGATTGCGCGCAAACAAGTATCGTGACATCGCATTAAGCGAAACGCATTTGAACATTCAATTGGTAGAACGAGGATCACCAATGTTGTTCTACCAATTGAAGGCCTCACGCCATCAGTGATGTCACACCGTTTTGCTTCCAAGTATACGCAGTTTAACATTCGCACGCTGCACTAATTATGTTTGAATACTAAAGAAATTGCTAAAAGAAGGCTTGAAACAGAAAATTGGAAGGAATTATCGTCTTGAAAACTGTTACCTTGAGAAAAAAGTGTCATCGTTAAATATACTTAAAAAACGACAGTCACGTTTCAATTTGAGTTTTAGGTGATTTACCCTGTATAAAGTAATGAACTTGGAAATACCGTGGTGTCAGATGATTAACTTCACCATCACTTTAATCTCTGGTCAATCGCGTTTAATCGATTTCGTAGCAGGTTTTCAAGACTTCTACGCATCCTTTTCAACAATCGGTATTACTTCAATAACAACAAGATGCTTACAATGAAATTTGACTCATAACTTTATTGGGTACAGCACCTCTCATATTTTTTTTTCTCCTCTTTTTTCATAGCTTTCAGTGACGCCCAATTCTCATCGTGCCTCGAAGGGTTCGATGTAAGTTGGTACACGCATTTCATTTTTCTCTCTTTTGTACTCACATTCTTCGCATACTGCACAAATAAAAACCTTTTTCTATCTTTCTCCGTAAATCGACTGGTTAAGTAGTCAAGTCCAAAGTGACTCGTGCGGTCACGATTTATTACTGTAAATATCATGTTATTTACACATATACCTAAGCTTCGAACAGCTTTATAACGTTTGTTTGTTTTTTTTGTTTTTATCCTTTTTATCGCATTATGGAGAGGGTTTGAATGTTTGGCTGTAGTATCGTTCATTTTACATGTAACAAATACAATAGATAACTAATATAGCGGGTCATAGAACATGATGATTGACGCGTAACGTAACTATGTAAGACTGGATTCGTACTATCGTCCCTCTCAACGTGCCTCGAGATCGCGCTCTCTTAAATTCGTTATACAATATATATGTAAAGCTGTTTATCAGTGTGTCTAATATTTACTTAAATGTTAAACTTCTTACAGACCGGTTACATCATTCAAAGGAAAAAATCTCTATATATTTCTATATAAGCCAAACTTAGCGTACCTAAGTAGACACTTTTAATATCAGAGATGTTCATCTTAGATAGAAATACACGCTTTAAAAGTCTCTTACGTTTTATGTACGACAAGCGACGAGCTCGTCGGTTACGAGGAAGGCTTCTCCTAACACCGTATAAAAATTATAAAACAGAAAGAATGTTTAAAATTTACCGCCTAACAAGTTATTATACACGTGTTTGTGAGAGTCGGTGCTATGGCCAGCCTCCTTAGGCCTTCGATATACGACATCAAAATTAAAATCGAGGTGAAAACTTCCCTCAGCTTCTTCGCGTACAGGTGAAATTTCACGTTTCCGTTTCGGAACTGTATCTCACTCGGATTTAAGCAGCTTCAAACTATCATGTAAAATGACTATATCTTTTGATATTATATTCCTGCTGGTCCGCTTAAAGTCTTTCAGCCATATTTATTTACTCGTTTTTTTTTGTTTTCACGTCTAGTATTGATCAAATTTACGATTATCGACAAGTCCATGAATATATCCAGCCTCGTTCTTATTACTGTTCGACTGCGAACTAGTGTTCGTAACTAGTTACGGAACAAACTCGGTTGTTACAAGTACAAAAAAGGATCGTGATCTATATTGTTCATATCATGCGACTTTTTATGTGTACGTCAACGTGCCAATATGTAAGAGCGCGTTCGAGCGCTACGATTTTATTTAGGTAAATTACGTATCTCATTTTGCAAGGGTGTACTGTATTATGCATTAACGTTGTCACTGACGCAAAAATGTTGATAGTAATAATTTTTTTTGTTTTTTTTTTTTTGTTTAGTATTAGTGGTAATTTTATCTGTGGTAGTAGTACTGATGGTGGTGGTAATGGTGGGATACTGTGTAGATGAACGAAACCACCTATCCCAATGATGGGAAGTCATTCTCATCGTCTACTTTCGGAGCGTTTTGACGTCCTCGAGGCGACCTTTGCTCGGTTTGCGGAGGCTGCAAAGTAGAAAAGAATATCGGTTGATTTTATCGTGTTTAGAATTAATTAATTTCTAGAATAATATTATTTATAAAAAGAAATACTTACAGGACCACGCGGTTCTCCATCTCTAGGAGCACCGCGATTTCCAAATCCACGACCGTTGGCCCGTTCTCCGCCGCGGCCACCTCGTCCCCGACCACGTCCACCAGTACCGCGTCGCGAGTCACTGAACTGTATCTCGATGCCTAACACACGTTTTTGCCTTCCAACACGTTGTGGATACTCTGCTGCGGCATCGTATTCCTCCTCGTCCTCGTCGTCTTCCTCGGCACCCTCCTTCTTTTTCTCGAGCGCGTACATTTTTTTCCAACGTGTCAAATCCTCACCCTCGCCAGCCTTGCGTAAATTGTATTGTGGCTTCGCTCTGTTTTGGCGCAAAGCCTTCCATTCGTCCAACGTCAGTTCGCGCGACTCCTCCTCGGCTGGTTTCTCTTCGGCGGCATCCGGATTCGTTTCTCCTTCTTTTGTTTCCGGGGACGCTTGAGGAGCATCTCCGTCGGGCTTCTCGTTAGGCCAATCTTGACTCTCTTGATTCAAACTTTCCCTGCGAGCGAGAGAACGAAAGATTTAAAAAGCGATCGGAAATTAAACGTATCGTTCCATTTTTGTTTCAACAGGAACGTGTACCACACTTACTCGATTTCATCGTTGTGAGTTCCCCAATTATGGCTACCAGCACCATCTTTTTTATCCACTGGTTTAATCCCGCTGCTTGTGTAAACACAAGGATTCAATTAGACAAGTAAGAAAATCCATAATTGAAAATTGGAAAATTGGAGTATTAAGTGAAAATTACGTTCTATCGGAGCCAGACTGACGATCGAATTCACGTTTTCCACGGTTATCGTATCCTCCACGACCGCGTGGCCCTCCACGCCCGCCACGTCCCATCCCGCGCATGCCACCACGACCCCTGCGCTCTCCATACTCTCCACGTGGCTGAGCGTCGTTAGAGTTTCTGAATTCTCGTGTTTCACGGCCCTCGCGTCCTTCGCGGCCTTCGCGACCTTCACGTCCTTCGCGACCTTCACGGCCCTCACGTCCTTCACGGCCCTCACGTCCTTCGCGTCCCTCACTGAAATAAACAATTCGGAGCAATTTATAGGTAAAAATAACAATGGTAGTGTATCAGCTGCGAATACTTTGGCACCTATCTTTGGAACATTCTTAAAAATTAACATACTAATTTAAATGAAAAGAAGGAAAACAGAGGGATGCATTACATCCGTATCGTAGTATAAAGTGAGTTCATTCGATGACATTAAGAATGGTATATTAATAATTGTATATTAAAGCCATTTTTTTTAAATTAATTAATCATATTTGAATGACAATGAGGATAATAAAGAGGCGATAAATTTTCAGTATAACTAATATGTAAATTCCATCGATTATATACTATTATGAACTTGAATTCTTGCATACTACGATACAAAAGTAATGCGATATTGTTGTAATTCTTTCCTTTTCTCAATTTCCTCTTATGTTACTTAAGGTAATGGGTTGAATGTAATTAAACTATTTATTGCTTTTGTCTATTAACCCATAGACAAGACGGAGCAGTTTTAATAGTAAACATTTAACGTATCAATTTTATTCTAATTTACTGCTCTGTTGTATATATATGTTCATAGCAGTGACGTACAATATTTATTGAGGGGTAAAAAGTAATGCAAAAATTTAACGTATAATAATTTATACATGAAGTTTTATTTCTTCATTGAAAAATAAGGAGTCATCTCTGCTTTATAGTATGTTAAAAAAAGAATATTGTTGAGTATCACAACAGCAAAACTTGAAAACAAAACAAAACTATGTTCAAAATTCACTTTTACAAATAAAATTAGCATAAGCTAACATAGTAATAATAGGTTTCAACGAATAATTTCGTTTTTCTTATATTCAACTTAAAAAGTATAATTTGAATGTTTGATAAACTATGCTTTGTTTATGCTGCATTTATTTATACTATACCTACCCAGGAGGTCCACGTCTCAGTTCTCCTTGGCCACGAGGCGTCCTCTCCCCATCTTCGCGATTGCGTCTATTGTTGCGCTCCTCCCTGCTCTCCCCAGAGAATTTGACGTTGCGGTCTCCTCCTCCTCCTCCACCGCCGCCACCACCGGTTGTTCTCTGTTGCGGTGGCTTTTTATCTACTAACATACACGGTACAATTTCAAAGTCATTTACAATACTTTGCAACATCACATTTCAAAAGAATACATTCAGATTTACAAAACGTTTCCTTCGAGCAAAGAAACCTAAAACAGTAACATAAATATTTCTTGTTCTCGGTTTTTAATACCTATCCTTAAAATATGAAAGCACGCGTGCACATGGACACCATTTCAATTACAAAGTAATGTATGCACATGTATCAACATAATTTTAATATATCGATTATTCGCAATAAAAATAGTGATACAAGTATTCAACCGTTTCCGATATATTCCTTTTAAATGAAAGTGTCGCGATTAACATTAAAATTTCGTTGAATTCTACCGAAATTGTTCGTTAAACACGTGGAGGTCGGTCGTCGGTAAATTCTATTTTTACGATGCGAAAATGAATCCCGTGCAGTGCGGCATGAGAAATGGTTAAAAAAAAATGGGGAAAAATAAGAGCGTCGCATGGGATTTTCGGTCGAAAATAGATCCGCGGCGGACGATTAAGAGGAGTTAAATGAGGAAAGACGAGGGAACGGTTGTCGATTGGGATAAATAGTGGGTTAACGTGTGGCAAAATATCAAAAGCACATGGACCCACGAGGGGGACCCGAGCGACGGCCATAATACCGCGCACGAGGCGACCGATCCGTAACGAAAATTTACTAACCTTGATCTTTCTTTGGATCCTGCACCTTCGCCACCGGCTGCTGCGCGTCCTTTATCACTCGAGTTTTCGGAGGTTTCGCGCCGGGCGGCTTTTGCGCGTCCGGCTGCTTACTCTTATTCTCCTTTTCCGAAAGCTTCTCCTTTTTCTTAGCTTCCTTCTCTTGTTCCCGTTGCTGCATAATCTCGTGCAGATCGGCGTCATCGCCCAACAACGGTACCGAGAATTTGTTGGTAACGTTAATGCTGTACGTAGTCTCCATGATGTCTCTTATTATCCTCTCTTCGTCGAGGATCACGCGAAAATTTCACGGCTACTCTTGAGCCCTTGTGTAACAGAGACATTCAATATTTCAATATGGCCGAGTCCGGAGATAGTTCACCACGAGGTCTGCGCTCAGGGAGGGACCGCATAATTGTCTTGCACCCAGCGCCCCGCCTCCCCACCAATATTATTTAAACCGTCGATCTTACACCCTTTCGATCCTCCAAACGTCGTCTAAAATTCGATTTTTAATTTTCATCGTATCGTATTTGCAAAATAAACGATCGTCCGCCGATAAACCGACGCGATTTACGCGGCCGTAGTTCTCAAAGAAACCGGCATTATTTTCATGAATTACTCAACGCTCGACCGAATAGATTTCCTTATCTTTCGGGATTTATCTTATTGCTCCACGGTAATATTTATAAATCCGATCCGTACTATTTCGGTCGTGCATCGTATTTTTCCTGGTGTTTTAATAATCAACGACAAACCGCAGTGTCGATTCTCAACAGTCCCTCGAGTTTCCATATAGCCCGCGAATCGAACGTTCATGTATTACCGTGCCGCGAAAAGATGTATTCGAACGTATATCGTCTAACTTGTACTTTCTTTGCAATTATTACAGTTTACATTTTCGAACAAACTAAGATTCTAAAAAACTAATACTTTTATTCATCGTATTATACGAATATTCAAGGATTTCTGTTTAAAGAAACAACTTCGTAATTACTTCGTAATTACTTCGTACTTTGTAACAACTGTAAATATTTTGTACAATTTTTGAAACAGTTAATTAGAATGATAGTCAAGCACAGATTTATCATCGCATAATTATTCAAACGCATATTTATTTGCCATTTTGATATCGTTCGTGAGGTTCGTTGCAAACTAGCTCAGGGCCGTGAAAATAGGAATACTCTACGAACAGAAAATACAGGGTATCCCAAAAATGTTGTAACACCTTGAAAGGAGTGGTTCGGGAGGTGATTTGAAACAACTTTTTCCTTAGCGAAAATGTTGTTCGAGGCTTCGTTGAGGAGATATCAACGGAAAACACTGATCAATCAGAGCGCGAGTATGTCGATGGAGCGCTCGCGGTAGCGTATAAGCGCGGCCGCTTAGCGCGTAGTCTTCGCTACCACGGCCGCTCCAACGGTATACACGCGCTCTGATTGGTCGGAGTTTTCTGTTATACTTTTGTTGCTTATACAATTTTAAAGTCGAAATTGCAAAATCAGCCCTTGGAGTCGCATCCGCCAAAGTGTAACGAATATATTAAAACCAGAATTATTAGAAAATATTGCTTCTTTGCTTCAATATCCTGGAAAAAAATCATGCTAGCCTAATCGTCCTGTCCTCGTCTCTCCTGCAATTTTTGTATCGCCCTCTCTGTCCTCATCCCAGAGTTTCCTACTTTTTCCGCAACTGTCGCTGAAGTCAACTCGGAGTTTCGAAAATGTTGTTTCAAATCACCTTCCGAACCACCTCTTTCTAGGTGTTACAAAATTTTTGGGATACTCTGTATTGACAAGGAAGATACGATTATTATATCCCAGGGTAGCTTTGCATAGTTTCCATAGATAAAGATATACAAAAATTATCTAAAATTCAATTATAAAATTCCTACGTTTGCGTCGGGGCACTGGGGACTCAAGCTACGACCCTACCGGCACCCATCAAACTATTATGCAGCGTTTTCATACGAGGCATCGTAAATTCAAACTAGACATATTTTGTCCGATATCGCAAAGAGAACCAAATGTTATGAATGCAAATATCTTGAAAGAAACGATACCGAACCGTAAGAAACAAACAATTCGATGTAAACATTTATCGCGTTCACAAAGAACGCAATTAGCCAACTTCACGGATCACGCGGCGTTCGTCTCCGGGCGCGGCCGTGATTGGTCGCCGGGCGGCGAGGGAAAGGGTGCGCGCGCAACGGTGCCAAGCCGCGTGTAGAAACAGTCGTTACGACGATGCCAACAACACTGGAAGCGGGACGAGGTGTGATTCCGTTGTAAGTGCCGTGCAACGAACAAACATTTCCTCTATAAACTCTATTATTTTGTCGCTGTCTCGAATCGAAGGAGAACATACCGCGACGTTTACGCGTATTTGTCGCAGGATACTCGCGGCACGGTACACGTGCATCGCAGAATCGCGCCGGTTGCTCGGGTTTTGGCGGTTTACCAGTTGCACGCGGCACACGGAGGGTGGCAGTCGCGAAGGAGAGAGAGAGAAGGAAGACAGAAAGGTGGTCGCGGAAACGCTGGTTTTTAAGGTGGCCGGGACGAACGGCGAGGTGAAGTGAGAGAAAAATACGTGAAATGGAATTGCACACGCCGAAGCGTGAATCGCGTCCTTTGACGGAAGCGTTGCCCTGCAGCCCGCCGATGTGCGACACCATGCTTTATCCGTGGAACTGGGGTGAAGAGGCGAGGAATGTGAACCTCAGCCCCGGTAGCTCGTGCTCGTCGCCTGAATATAGAGAGCATAACGTAGTGGCCACGCGAACGGGACCGCGATCGCGTTCGGGAGGATCGGAGCATCATCGCCGTGGACGACCTAGAGCTGACGCTCTATCGAACCTCATGATGCAAGGAAGCACCTCTCCCAGCAGTATAAAATGCACTTACTGCAACAGGGTCTTTCCACGGGAGAAAAGCCTCCAAGCACATTTGCGCACCCATACAGGTATGTTTCGCTACCAGTGACGTACGCGGACCTTGCGGGCCCTCGACCTTCGACGGCTGACACGTTAATACTTTACCGACGGCGGTTAGACGCGTAATTAAATTCAATGATATATTATAGTATTATTTTCGTAGCGTTAGTATCTTCTTTTTTAAGTATATTATTTATCGATCACGTTTGTATCGGGTTGTCCGAAAAGTCCATGTCGATTTTTGGTAGGTGGTACAGGTCTGAATATATCGAAGTGGTTGAAAACAAATAACATGCATAAATCCTTTAAAAGGTGGAAAGGTTGCGGAACAAAATGGCACCTATGTAATTCAATAAATATATATTAAAATTCAAACGTTTTTTTGAATGTTCCTTAGAAATCGGCACGAACTTTCTGGACAACCTAATAAGATACATATACCATAAGTTATAGTTATTGTACGAGGTTGATCACTTCGATTTCTTTTGGAAAAGTTCGAGCGGTTTTCGCGAGATTTGAAGTCGTAAAGTTATTGTGGATAGTCCTTGGTTCATTTCATTTCCTTCTTTGTTCTATCTATTAAAATCGTTTTTTCATTAATATTTATGTAATACTGTATCGATAGTAACAGAGACGATTGATAGGTCGGTAAAGTGTTAATAACGTAAAAATGGGACCGTATACTCCGAAAACTACGCAACCATAATAGAGAAAATATTGTCAACAAGAACGTTCTCGAAAATATCCAACTATTCGAAATTCCCTATTTTAATACGATAAAATAATTCGATAAAGTTTTACAAGATACGATACTCCAAAAATAAATTACGATCGAAAATATGCGTAATATCTACAACACGAGCTAAATAATCAATGATCGAGATAAATTGTGTTTAAATTACGCACGAAATTTAGAAACACAACGCGTCAGCCTCAGAGGTTAAACGAAGTGTTATTTCATTTCTGACGAAGGTATAAATACTCAAACTCACCCATTTATGAATGGATGTAAACGTATAACACAAAAAAAAAAACGAAAAAAATACTTTATACTCGCCGCACCTGTAGCCCATGGGTTTCATGGAACGCGATACGGTCCTGGATGCGCGACTTCGTTTGGTCACGCGTCCCGCCAATCGCCATCATGCGTACTTTAAATAGTTAAATGGCTTACCTATGAAAATAACGAATCGTGTGAATGGAAACACGCTACGCTATCGAACGTGAAACAGTAATATTGTTTGTTTGTTTGTATTATACGCGTAATTATAGAAATGAAAAATACCGAGTTGCCTCGAAATAATACTTTTAGATATCGTGCCTCGAAATGTATTCTTTGTTCGGAGTGGAACTGACAATACCAAAAATAAACAGAACTTCTTTTGTTCGAATTACCCATTTTTTAAAATTCTGATGAAAAATTTATTCCGATTATTTATTAAGCTTTAATATTATTTTGAGAACTGTCGAAAAATACAATGTTACATATCGTAACTAGACTGCGGATCTTTATGCATTTATAGGAAATTTGAATGTGCAAGAACCTACAAAATGCAAACAATATGTAAGAATGTAAAAAAGATTGAAAGCAAAGTTCACGTTATAATATTTGCAGACTGAAATAAATTCCTACGTAGGTTCAGTTTTTGTAGGCACAAAGATTTTATTTTGAATAAAGATCCACAACATTATATCATAAACAAGGCTTGCATAAAAAGTTCCTTTTTAGTTCGGTGCTGTGTTATAACGCTGTGTTTTATTCTATGCGTTCCTGATTCTCATGAAACGATAATTATCTTTCCAGGTGAACGTCCCTATCCGTGCGATTATCCAGGATGCACGAAAGCTTTTACCCAATCCGGACAATTGAAGACTCACCAACGACTGCATACGGGAGAGAAACCTTTTTTATGTACGGAACCTGGCTGTGAGATGAGATTTACACACGCGAATAGACACTGCCCCGATCATCCTTATGCCACTCTTACACGTTCCGATGACTTTGTATTGAAGCCTGTGTCGGAAAACACGGAATTACCTCACGACGTGACTAAATGGCTAGAGCGTTACAAAATGTCCAGGGAACGAGAAGATAGGACGCCCACAGGGAAAAATGAACGCAAGAAGAAAAGTTGGAAAAGTAGTTCAGAGAATCACAAAAGAGTTAAATCTAGAAAGGGTTTGATGATGGATGCGACAGGGGAACAGGAGAATTTAGATTGCAAAGGATCTAATCAGCGACTGTATTGCGAGAGTCAAGACAGCCAAGAGGAAAGCCAAGACGAAGATCCTGCAGAGACGTGCGCCGTGTTGCAAACATCCGAAGACGAGGAGATATCGACAAAGTTAGCGATTACTCCTTTGAGAAGACCATTGGATCGACTTCAGCCAAAGAAGAGATGGTTACGGGAAGCTTGTCTGGAGCAGCAGCTGGCCAAACCTTTGAATTGGGATGTGAAGCCTGCGAATCCAGCTGTGACCGCTTCGTTTAAATCTAATTGTAATCAAATGCAATGGAGCGCGCCTGTCGATAATTCGTGTTTGAACGAGTGCAAAGAAATTGAAATTGCAAAATCAGAGTTAGATTCCTCTTACGCGACCGGTCACGTATCTTGGGATGTCGATAACGAATCCTCGGAAACGTGCGCGAAGGAAGAGCAAAAGTACGTATTCGAAGTGTCGAATACATTATCGCAAACTATTTGGAACACTTCGCAGCAAACTACAAATAATTTCTTACCTAACGATAAACATTCTACCTCTAAACTCGAATCATCCGAACACCCGGCTCATGTATATTGGGACAACGATTTCATAAAAGATACTACGAATTCTTCGTTGAATCGATCGAATATAAAAATGAAGAATTTTGCTCAAAAGGATGTTAAGCAGGACGCGATCATGAGTCCTTGTATCAGCGAAAACATAACGAGACCGACTGTTTTAATGTTAGCTGGTAGTTCTAATAACAACAACAACAACAATAATAATAATAGCAAAGATACTATCACGAAAGTAGCGCCAGTAGAATTGGAAACAGGAACAAAAGTAGTAGTTATTAAACAGGAAGAGAATCTTGTAAAGTTACCGATACCTGAGGATAGTCAAAAATGGTTAGGCGCTTTAGCTTTGATGGAATTAGCTAAAAATCAAGAAGAGACAATACGAGGCTTAGGCCTCAAGCAAAACAAAGATGAATGCTCTGTGAATTCCGAGCTGAACTATACCCATTTATAGACTGTGATTAATGACTGTTCTAATTCTGATTTATGTTATTTTTGTATGGCGGGCAAGAAACAAATAAAAGTGCATTCATTGCCATATCACAATTTTCCGATATACAAACACGAAAGAAATATGTCGTTCAGAATTACATCTGTTTTTCTTGCACAATCGAGTAGCATTTTTTCACGATTTCCTTTTTGTATCTTTCTAATTATCTAACTATAATTTATTATATTCAACGTTTATTCTCGTTTTCTGCCAAACTTTTTCTGCATACTACGATCTTGTTAAAAATATTAAGATCAGTGAAAAATTTCTTTTAATTGCTATTTCTTTTTCATTAAGGAAAAAAAGTGAATTGGTATATGTACAAGAATACTTTTTATTTGTAATTAATATTCTAAGTTACATTATCGTTAACGACTGTTGGAAATTCCCACTATTTGTAACGTCGCGCAGAACAATTTTTAAACGGGGAAAATAAAGCTATATTCATATTTTTATTTTCCGTGGTTAATTCTCATTGTCGACGATAAAAATACGTATACTTTACGTAACGTATTTATTACGTATAAAAATACGTAACTCAAGGAGAAATATTCTTTGTGGACAATATATTTTTTAAAATTTATTCCAACAATGAGAACATACCACCGTATAACGCGAGTATATAACAATATTCTACATTTACTTCTAAATTTGTATAGTTTGACCAGATTATCGGTGACATTGATCAATCGTATCGAAGAATTGTATCGATTTGTAATATAAAATTCTTGATCTTTTACTTTGAAATGCGTATAGCATGAGACACGAACCAATACAAATGAATTAATTAAATTAATCGAAGAAATATTTGATTTAATGTTTCGTTTATTACGAGGAACAAAAGTTTCGAGTTTCTTTTTCATAGATAACTATCGTAGCATATAATATGAAATTATATTTCTGCAATCGAGCCTTCGATACAATTTTCTACGAGTGATTCTCCATTCGATGAAAAATGAATTACGTACTTTTCCGTTTTTAGGTGATAATGCAAAAATTTATTTATTATTATCGGCCATACTGCGTAACAGTAAACATTTGTGTGATACTTAGAATGGTAAACAAATTTACGAAGAAAAATTTCTTTTCGAAAAAGGTTAAATGAATGCTTGTAAAATATTTAATTGGAAGAAATATGGTTATTATTTATAAAGTATAATAGGTGTAGAGAAACTAATTGGTAGGATAAGATAGAAATCTACATTTGTAATACCATTAAGTAATTTTAACTCCTAATATTTTATACTCAACGTGTATATATGTGAAATATTTTAATAAATATTTTCTAAAATTCTAGGAACTTCCACGGAACATCGACTGTACGAAACCAGAAATTCTTCGAATAACAAATTATATATTTTTAAGCACGGTACGATCCATTTTGTTTATTAACAAAAACAATCATTTATTTTCACGTTTTATTATACCAAAAATATAAACTCGCAAAGATTACAGTACTTTCTTTAAATTCGCAACAATACTTATTCATTCTTTACAAAATGTATAAAATTACAACTTCTCAATTATTCATATAAATACATATAGGCAGTGTTATTATCATTACATAGGCATTATCATTTACATTCTTTAGATTTCCTAGTTCTTGTATTCTTCGTCTCCTTAGTTACAACGCTACGTGTTCTAGTAATTCGTCTCGTGTTTTTCGAATTATCTACTTGGTTACGTTCTTCGACAGTTACATTATTTTCCGTCACTTTAATAATAGGTGTAACTGTCGCATTCTGTCGAGACGTTGACTCCTTCTTATCGGAAAGATCAACGTTACTTTTTCCTTCGTTAACATCCAAGTCTTTCAACAGTGCGATCGCTTCGTCGATTTTGTTACAGTCGCTCGAATTTCGCGTTTTCCAGATTTTTCTTTGCGGCGTTATATTCAGTTTAAGATTTTCCATCCTCTCGATTAACTTTTGTACATTTTCATTTGTCGCAGGCTCGTCTATATCGTCGACTGTCTTGCATAAATGCTCGGATACATCCGGCACCAGCGGTACAATTTTATTTACAATATCCCTCATCGAAACGCATGAATTTTTCTCTTCCGTTTTAGCGGCGACCTCCGAATAATCTTCGTCCAGGATTTTCCTCCTTGTCAATTTCCCGTGTATCCTCGTCCTCTTGTGTCCCGAAGATAGCGAAGAATCATTGTCCTCGTCGTCGCTGAAGTTCATGCTAACTTTGGTTAGGTTCAGAAGAGGAGGCGTTCGAACCCGTCGAATATTGATAGGTTTCTTCTTTCGAGCGTTGGTAACGACTGGCGTGATGCAAATACTTTCTTCGGCTTTCGGTGTTTGTAGATATTTAGATATGTCGATGTCAGACGCGTCAGGAACTGTGAATGCTACAATAAAAAAATTTCATTTGAAATGTTTCGTAAACGAGACACGTAAGAGAAATTATTATAAATATTACGGGACGCTTACTCGAATAGTCGATACTGTTACACATTTTTTGGAAACGTTCGTCGAGCAGTAGTTCCTGGACCGACATGTAAATGGGATGTCCTTTCAATTTATACATGTCGCATATCCGCATCGCCAAGCGAGCGATATTTGTTACTTCGTCTCGCATCCTGTTCGAGTAGCTTCTCAGAAGGTACGAAAAGTTGATCAACAAGAGCACGTAATCCGTGCTGTAGAAACGGTCCTGCCAAGAAATGTATTCGCGCTCGTCTTCGAACGCGAATCTCTCCGAGTTCATCGAGTCTTTTATTTTAAACGCGCCGTGGAAATGCTGCAACGACGCTCCATAATTCTGTTGCAACGCGTACAATTGGGCCCTGATATGCGTGCTCGCGAATACCAAATAGCGATAGGAGACATTGGTACACGCGTAACAATTGCAACTTTCATGGCACAAAAATTCAGGAAGATCAAACACTTTGTTCCTGAGAATCGGCGAGGCGTCGTTCTGCGGAATGTCTCTGATAGGGTCCACGATTCTAATCGGCGTCTGCGACGCGTTCTCCAAGATCGTTTTTATCAGTTTACTCTTCATCGACGCTTCGACCATTTCGATATTTAAAATATGCTCCAATCCTTGCAGCTTCACCTCGCAGTCGTTTAATTGCGAACGCGACAAGTCGATGTAGCAAAGCGACTTTAAAATCTCTGCGACCCTTATGGTCGCTCCTATTGCTTGCGCTGTTCGTAATCGTCGCACCAGGTGACTGCCGATTTCTCGAAAAGACAGCGAACTATTTATTCGCAGAGATAGATTTACTGTCGCGGACAACAGGATGTCCAGGCCAAACAAATGTTTGTCTTGAGGTTTCCCTACGGAACAATTTTAATACAACTGAATAAGTTTCTGGATGTCCCGTTGCAATCTTTTATTTTCAAATGTTATTTCTAGGGTGTGGAGAAATTCAAATGGGATGGTATAATTAGAGATCACGGTTTTGAACGGGTATTAAAATACACGGGTACACGGAACACCTGTATTTTTAATACATGGGTACCCGAGGGTCGAAATACGCTGACAACCGAATATCTAAATACACGGATATCCAGGTACGTACACGTGCATCGAAATACACGAGTACGCGTACATCGAATTATCTATTGTTACCCGTGGCTTGAATATTTATTAGGTTGTCCCAAAAGTTTCTTTCGTCTTATTAATAAGTAATACATGCACAATAGTCTATGTTTTATGTTACATTACTGAATTGTGCACGATTCATTTTGCTCCATTACTGTCACAACACGAATATCTATGAAATTAGATTGTCTATTTACATGAACACGACCACATAAAATAATCGAGTGCAACTCGCGAAAGAAACTTTCGGGACAACCTAATATTTTAACTAGTAAATAAAGTTTTACAAGTTACATTAAAATATTTATTCTGTTATATTTATTCTTCTTATGTTTATATATATTTTATTAATTTATTTTACTGCATATCAATTTTTTCAAACTTAATAAGGATCATTACTTTAGAATAATAGCTTTTTTACATAAAAGTTTGCATATAAAAATAATTGGATATTGTACCCGTGTATTTCGATGTATGCGTACCCGTGTATTTCGATGCACGTATACGTACCTGGATATCCGTGTAATTAAATATCCGGGTGTCAGCGTATTTCGATACCCGGGTACCCGTGTATTAAAAATACACGGATTAAAACACGGGCCCATTAATTACCCGTGTTCCCGGATATTTCGATACACGTGAAGTAGGGATCTCTGGTATAAATGGAAATATTCCAGCTTAGTTACATTTCCTCAATGATAGTTCCTCGCTCAAAGTGATCATAGTGTACAAACTCTCAACGATGTATCGACTGTATTCCTCGTACGTTACGTCTTCCTTGTACAGATAACAATTGCATAAGATCCTATCTAAGCTGTATAAATATACAGCTATATTCGAGCCGAAAGATATTCCTTTCAGCTTCTTGGATTCATCGAGTAAGTTTCTGGCTTTGTCGTGCTGAAGATAAATAAATGAATATATAATACCCAATTAAGATCAACGTATAAAATGTTGGCTATACCAAATTACGATAAACTTACGATACCACATTCAAAGTAAAAATCTGACAAACTTATCCAAAAAACCGCGATCGCATAAACGATGTTCTTATCGTTCGTATCTTTAAGTTTGACAGCAAGCTCTTTGGCAGTGGTAATCCACTTGCGATCGATTTCTCTCGACGAGATACTACGACCTGTAACTGAAACAAAAATATTTTCATTATTACGATATAAATTTCGTTCGTGTTCGGTACACCGTATTCAAATATTCTTACTATAAATGATAGCGGAATTATCTTGCAATGCGAATGCTAATTTGTACGCAAGTTTCCATATGTTTATCTCGCATTCCTCGTAACGATACAAACGAGCGTATTCGCCAGCTATTATCAAGGTGTGAAGCGTTATTCTTGGCTCGTCGCTTTTAACAATTTCGTCCTTTCAATAGTAAAAGTTCATTCGTATTACTTAATAATAGAAACATAATTTACTATTAGGTTGTCCAGAAAGTTCGTGCCAATTTTTAAGAAAACTTCAATGGCACATTTGAATTGTAATATATATTTATTGAATTACATAGGTACACCATTTTCTTCCACAACCTTTCCACCTTTTAAGGGATGTTTAAGGGATATATATCTTATTTGTTTTCAGCCATTTCGACATATTCAGATCTGCACCGCCTATCAAAAATTGACCTTCCGGACAACCCAATATATTTTGCTGTGTTACACTTACAACGTTTTGTTTCAAGCACTTGGTCCATTTCTTTAAAGGTACTTCCAAGTACGACCGAATCCTAGAATCTTCCTTGATATTTACCATGCTATAAGCAGGTACCACGTCTCCAGACATGTTTTCTCCAATTTCCGACAATTTTTGCGCGTACAACGCGAACTTTGTATTCTCCATCTCTGTTTTGGTCTTCCTATTCGTAACGCGTAATTGTTTTACAAAAACATGAAACTCTAAATTGGCTTGCAAGCACATAACAGTACTGTACGTTTTCGATTTTTTCAGCATGGACAGAGCACGTTGAACGCAATCTAGATTTTCGTTGTCGAAATCAAAGTTCAGCAAATGATACGCTAACATTTGTACAGCGCGAGCGTATTGCATCGGATTTACTTTTAATAATGTCATCTCGTCGAGAACTTTGCGAATAGCTACCGAAAGATTCACCTTTGCTTCTTGCAAACCTTTCGCTTCTCTTAAACACATTGCGACGAGATCGTATTGGGAAAAGTCGATTGATAGTCCTAGCTCCTTTATTCTCGCTTCGTCCGCCTTCAAGCAAGCCAACATGGTCGTTTCCATTATCTCTTTGGAAGTTACGGACTTATGTTTGATGTATGCCCACATTTGAAATGCTTTCGTATCTGGATCGTTGTAACTCAACAAAGCATTTAACGCGGCAGCAGTCATAGCTTCTCTGTACATACCGCGATTGTAATGAAGACAGCACAGTCTATGCAATGTTGCGGACAAAGGGTTTTGAAGTTTGATGTATCGAGACTTCTGTTGAACACCTTCGAATTCTAGGATGGCGGTCAGTAACAGAGAGATTAAAGACACGCTTTCTTCGTAAATGCGTTCGGACATAATAATCAAATTGTAAATTAAAGAGCCACAGTTGGACCACAGGTACGTCCAACTCTTGCACTTGGATTTTTTCATTTCGTGAATATATCCTATGTTCTGCTCCAAAAATTTTCTTGCAAGCTTGCAAATATCTCTCGACAAATCATTCTCAGAAAGCTTAATGATCACCATGATACATCTGGTTTTTATTACTATCGCGTTGTATATATCTCGTTTCACCATACAATCTTTATCTAAGCAAGATTTACATTTATTCGGTGTTTGTTCTATAAAGCACAGGGTCATGTGTGCAACTAAATTCATTACTTCCAGTAATATACCATTTTCAAGGAAAGCCTTTTTTCCATTCTTTATACACGCCTCCCAATACAAAAGCAATGGATCTAAAATTTGAACGATACTAAACGTCATCCATTTAATGGATCCTGTATATCCGTATTGTTTTGAAAGTTTCGTATAATTATCGCATAGATCTCGAATACTTTCTGCGTCGCTGTTGACTAAATGTTCAACTGGTTTCAGAAATATTAGATAGAAGCATTGAAATTGCTGGAAACATTGATAACATTCCTCGTTTTTCGTTAGAATTGTTTTAAAGTAATCGCTTATGGTATTCAAAGGTATAAGCGTTGAACTGAATATCCCAGATTCGAGGCACTTTTCATTTATATTTTCGCACACAATTCTGCTTACTATATGGAACATGTGTTGAGATAGACCATTCTTCTCGTCTTCGATTAAGGAAATTGATGTTTGATTTAAATATTCGCTTATAAATCTATAGAAATCTGTAAAGTATATGTTCGGTTCTTTGCTTGTCGATGCAATTTTATCTAAATATGAACTTATCTTCGTAAGCAACTGCTTTGTATAATTTTTATGCGATACTTGTATTATATCTAATTCGTGATTTATAACAACCCTTAAATTGTAATAATGTTTCAAATTCGATGGATCATTTTGTAGAGTAAGGAACGCGTTATTGACAGCCATATACCATAAATAAGCTATTTTTACTAGTATATTGCTCACATTTTCATTGGAATGACATAGCGCTTCCGTCTTTAAACAAGAACACACATCGAATGCCTCTTTATACATACATAATGTTAACAAACAACGAACTATGTGAAACAAGCTACAGACAAACTTATTGCTATCCGGTATTTCAATTAAAGTTGAGCACAATAAACGCGTCAACTTGTGAATCTTATCTCCTATAGTACAATTCTCTTTGCTACATTTGTCTGCGGTGTGCGACAAATGTAACAACAATTTAAAAATTTGTTTGTTTGTTGTTTCAGTTAGTCTCAGGGGAACGTGTACCTGCAAGAAGTTAGATTTCTTTTTACTCGAAGTAGTATTCATTTGCTTCGAGAAATTTCAAGCAAATGAAAATACTTTCAAATTACATTTTATATTTGAATAAACAACGAAAATAAAGTTTCGTTAAAAAAATTTTACTAACCTGAATATCTTCTATTACCGGGTTCAAATCTTTCGTTTGAATCAATTCAATCCATTTTTTTATTTTCTCGTCTAAATTGGACATCTTTCGAATCGAATATTAGATCTGATTAGATCTTCTAACGGATCATAACGGATTGTGCACGCTTCGTAACATTCGTGAAGGTTATAGATCATTTCACATTTCCGCGGCGTAAACAATGCATGAACGATGCAACTTATAGTGGGCGAAACTCGTAGAAAGATTCGAAACGTTTTCCTTGTTGTTAGTTTTCAATCAAAATCAATATTTGCATTTAGACAAATAGGATTTAGGAAACATACAATATATCCGTATAAGGATAATAAATATAATAATTGTTAGTATTTGAATATGGAGAGTGTCTCAGAGAGAATTTTAGATAAATATAAATTCCACAATTATTATTCCTTACTAAAAAATTGCTCGATATAGGAAAATATCGCAGTGCGATATTGAAATGTTTACAACATTTTGTTAAAACGATTGTAATAATCGCATCTCAAGTTGAATTTAGTTTTTCCTCCAGCGTCGCGTTAACGATATCAAAAATGCCGCGTCGAAAGCGTAACCATGTTTGGAAACGGTGCATAGGGCCGACACTAGGTTACTTGGAGCCCCGACGCAGCTTTCAATTTAAGCGCCCGTTTCTAAGACGTATTAAAAACCCAAGATAAATGGAATCGAAGATTTCAAACTTAAATACGTATCGAATACGTATCGAATAGAATATTATAACATTTTGAATTTCTTTGAATCGTATCGAATTGATTATAACATTTATTTACATAACGATATTATTACCTAAACTACTATACGCTATATGTGCTTTTCTTGATTCGTAACTTTCAGCCCTGATAGTAGAGGTTCTACATTTACAGTCAGTAATGAGTAATAAAATAAAATACATCATGAACTACAATTGGAAAAATTCGAAAAGAAAACTTACACGCTTTCGACTAATTGGAAAAAGTGAAATAAATAAGAAAGTAAGAAGATGATTGTAGATGTCGGGAGCCCGAACTTAGGGCTTCTCGCGGATAAATTCGCCCCTGTTTCCAAAAAGAAAAAGAAAAAAAGGTAACGAAAGATCGAAAAAATGAAGCCGGGGCACCGGTGCGCCGCGCTCCGTCCCTGCCCTCGCTTATTCCAAATTTAATTTCACAGAGTTTTGATTCTGTGTAAAATAAATGCGCGGCCCCCCGTCCTAGGGAGATATCGCCCGGTGGAATATATAAGTCCGTGTTTGACCAAGGGAACGGACAAAGGTATGCGTACGGTAACGCGGGGGATACACGGCGATAAAAGGTGCGAAAGAATGGTGAAAATACGAGCAAAGAAAGACCAAAAATAGTAACCCTGCGGGCGATCGAGTGTAAGGGAACGAGTCAAGTACGCCTGGGTGCGCTCTTCTTTTCCGTCTTTCTCCCGTTCGCTGACGGTCGCATGAACGCTTCCTTGTCGTCCCGAGGCGCGTTAAAACGATGTCTAACTTTCGACGGGCGGTTGGCAGCCGTGCGTAAAAGAAATAAATAATCAAAGCGACCATGAAGTGACAAATAAAGTTTCAGGAGAACAATGCTCGCGAATGGCAAGGAAATTTGAGTGCAGCGTGCGTCGGGACCCCCGTGTTCTATGTTTTGGATGTTAACGCGGTTAGAACGTGGTGTTCCGTGGGACATTAGAGCCGGAGGCGCGACTATGTGCTCGCCGCGGAGACGGGGCTGACATTTCGTATATTTTTCCATCGGTTCCCGATACCTTCGTGGTGTTGGTCTCTGTTACCGTGTTCCTGTATCGCCCGCTGACAACCGCGATTCCTCCATGCGTGGGAATCCGTTCGTTGGGCCGCGATTAAATGACTGAAAACGTGCGAGACCGACGGGTCGCCAGAACGTTTACCATCGGGGAAATAACAGAACCGCGGGACATGCCTTCCACGAGAACGGGATCGCGCGACGTTCTCTAAGGGCACGTTCGGCCACCGGCAGGACGATAAGTTTCACTCGTTGTTAACCTCAACGATTCTCTATGCATCGTTGCTCTGAGCATAGTGGCCATGCGTCTGATTCTCGTCCACACGACCAAGGTCTGACAGGATAATCCTCCTTCGAATCGAAGCTTCAAACATGAAAACAGAAAAGAAGCCCAGCGAACCGAGTTGCGTGCCTACCACTGTTGTCAAAGAAGAGCCCGATACGGATCCGGTGAAGATCAAGGAGGAAGGTACCGGAAGTAACAATGATGATACCACTGGTGAGGATACAACCGAGTGCACCAGGGATCCCTGCCTGGATCCTTCCAATGGAGACGGTACGCTGCCAGGGGAAAATCAAAACAGTAACGCGAACCAACCGATTCTGAACTCTGTGAAGCAAGAAGGAGATCATAACAATCCCGCGGACGATTTACCTGGTATGGATAGGTTCCTTTTACGGGGCAAGTTAAATTGGATTATTATCAAATCGTAACATTTATTCCCTCTAGTAAATAACGAGCAGAGTATAAAGTTAATTAGTGAACTTTCTTAAATTAAAAGTAACAATCTTCCTTTTTTCCCTTTAAAGGAAACATTTCCTTTTCTTTCTTTTTTATTTTTAGCTAATGCGATTTGAAAACTTGCTAACAATTAGTACCTTTAATTCAAGGAACTTTCCTTGTTGATTTTATACTCTTAAGGTGAAAGATTAGAGGACGAAAGACAGTACAGTTACGTTCGATTACTTTGGTTCTAATAATTCCAACATAATCGCTTACATAGTTTCTTTTATTCTAGATTGTAGTGGCAACGTAATAACCGCGGATGGAATTCAGCCATTAGTTAGTAATGTTCTCGGCAAACAAATGGGAACTAGTACAGGAAGCGGCGAAGCTCAATATATGCAACAACAGAGTCAGATTTTTGTATTTTCTACGACGTTAGCAAACAAAGGCGCGGATGCAGTGTTGCAAGGGCAATACCCGTCGATTATTGCTTATCATTGCGCGCAACCGGGCACTAAGAAATATTTAGAGGTACGTATATTCCCCAACTATCGTTTAAATAAACACGACGTTGGTCGAATACGCATTTGTAATAATATTTATTATAATATTTACGACGCTATCGTTCTAGAAACATCCGAATAAAGTGAACCAGTTTCGTCAAAATCCCGCGCAATGGTTGAATAATCTCGCGATGATGAAACAGAAAGGTCATCAAGGAGGCGCGAATAACACCTTTCCGACCGAACAACCACCCGATCTACCAGCTTTGGACCCCAACGCTCCTCCATTCTGGAACGAACAACCCAATTTGAGGAATATAAACGGCGGTAACTCTCTCGGTAACTCCGAACCGTCGCTAGACGATGCAAATATAGACGTGCCTTGCCTTGTACCGAGCTCACCTGGTAATCCAGGTAATATTCGTATTCGCGTATTATATTAGGTTGTTCCAAAACTTTCTTTCGTAATTTGCACTCAATTATTTTGTGTGACAGTGTTTATAGAAATAGACAATCTAATTTCTTAGATGTTGACGTTGTAACAGTAATGGAGCAAAATGAATCGTACGCAATTCAATAATGTAACATTAGACATCAAATATTGTGTATGTATTACTTATTAATAAAACGAATGAAACTTTTGGGACAACCTAATACTTGCGCAGTTAATTTGCTTTAAAGCACTTTTCTTTTTATATATATTGGGCTATCTGGAAAGTCCATGCCGATTTTTAGTAGGCGGTACAGGTCTTAATATGTCAGAATAGCTGAAAACAAATAACATGTGTACACTCCTTAAAAGGTGCAAAGGTTGTGGAACAAAATGGTACATATATAATTCAATAAATATGCATCAATATTCAAATATGTCTTTGAATTTTTCTTAAAAGTAGGCATGAACTTTCCGGACAACCCAATACTATACTTACTGTATATATTTTTATGTATATTCTTTATTACAGCAAATCCACAGCCTCCTAGTAGTACCGCGATGGGTCACAGTCCCAATTTATTAGGAGGCACCACCAGCCCAGGTCCAGGCAGTTTGCAACCGTCGCTGCAAGGCGTCAAAGTCCCCGACGAAAATCTAACCCCGCAACAAAGACAACATAGAGAAGTTCAATTAGCGACCATAAGGAAAATGCAAATGATGTTGTTTCCTGAACACAAAGAAGAACCTACCAACCCGTTGGACGCGACGCAAGGGACAGCGGTGTCCTCCTGTCCTCCGACAAACGTTCCTTCGGTTGTACCAACTCAGTGCCCTCCGACCATGGATTGGCATAAATTACAGCATCAATTTTTAGATGGAAAGAACAAGGTAGAATAATATGGTGAAATATAACGCTTTGAATCACCGATTTCTGAACTTTACGAACAACGTATTGTCTACGTTTGTTTACAGTCGTAACGTTAATCAAACTTTTGCGTAGAATAATATGGCGAAATGTAATGCTTTAAATCACCGATTTCTAAACTTTACAAACAACGTATTATCTACGTTTGTCTACAGTCGTAACGTTAATCAAACTTTTACAGGCCAGCGTAGGAAGTCCCGGTGCCGGCGTTCCGTTACGCGGCGCCGGTATGGTCGGAGTTCCGCGTAGTCAAGGACCACCACCGCCGTATCATCAAACGACCCGATCCGCGAGCGTGCCAATCGCGATACAAAGTCCGAATCCATCCTCGCCTAACAACCCGACTAGCAATTTGTCGTTACCGTCGCCTCGCGCGAGTTCGGCGCTGAACTCGCCCGCGGACTGCAACAGACAATTTCAACTCAGCAATCAGAGATCGAGTCATCTACCAGGACAGAGTCCGACCAGTCAAGATTCCCCGAATCCAACGGTCGGAAACGCGTCGGCCGTGTCTACGACGAGACTGAACCACAGCAACCCCGGCACGCCGGTCTCTCACTCGCACATCTCGACGCTCAGTCCCAGCGGACCGGCTACTCAAAAGGATTCTTCTTTGGACTACCCTCCCAGTCAACCACCGAACGGTAAGTCGCGAGATACGGCGATCGTTCGCACGATACATTTGGTTCGAGCACGAGTTCGAGCACGAGTTTGTTCAGAGGAACGTCGTGGGTTAATTGGAACCTGAAGAGAAACGTGTTTTGTAATTGAATGGTTCTCTATTATAGATGAATATTTATTTTCCATATCCTTATTTTTATACAGACTAAAAGTATTAGAACTAATAACTAAGAAGTAAGAGCTAAGATACTAAAACTTCTTGAACGAACTCGTTGTTCTACCTGGATTACTTAATAAGAGCTGTTTCGTACATTGAATAATAAATTTGCGTCAAGTTGCGCTCGAAGGATCTCTATACCGAGTAACAATGGTTATCGCACTACTGTATAGTATATTTTAAAAGTTCACTGCTTAAATGTTGCGCGGTGAATTGATCGTGTTATATGTTACAACATAGTGGATGGTATGTTTTGCCGCACGCTGCAATCCTTAGCCCAGCAAAAGCAACAGCATACCGGAGCTGTGAACGCGGCAGGCGTGAAAGAAGCGAACCTGATGCCGGTGCCGAGTCCTCAACAGATCCAGTATCTCAACACGTTCGAAGGCCAGGAATTGACTATACAAAAGCAGCCCAATACGAGTCTAAAGGATGGCAACTTGTCCACGTGAGTAATCTAATAAGCTAATTTTTGTTTGGTAATTACCTAGTTACCTAATTACCACGTTGGTGTTTACTTGTACGTTTAGGAACGCTGGCAGCAACACGGAGATACCCAACAGAATTCTGCCAGGAAGCTTGGACAGCAGCAATCAGTTTCCAGCTAGGTCGGAGGGTGCGAGTCCGGTTCAGATGGACAGCATGAACCGTGGCTTTACAGGTTCGTTGCACAGTCCGCATACTCCTCACACGCCGCACACGCCCGGCAATGGAGCTCCGCACACTCCGGTGGATTCCGGTAAACCTGGGAATAAATCAAGTGCGAGTGCGCAAAGTAGTCCCGCGTCGCATAGTACGAACATGCCAGATAGTATGGGTCCTCCGAGAACAGTGCCAGCGTCACCTACTATGAAACCTGATACGTCTCCGCCGTCGATAAAGGAAAGTCAACAGCAGCAAACTCAATCTCAACAGCAACAGCAGCAGCAACAGCAGCAGCAGCAGCAACAACAACAGCAGCAGCAGCAGCAACAGCAACAGCAGCAGCAACAACAACAGCAGCAGCAGCAGCAACAGCAACAACAACAGTCATCCGTAGTGAATCCAAATAATTCCGGAAACCCAACGGTAGTACCTTCGTTAGGTCCAGGCGCCTCCTTCCCCTGCGGTAGGCCATCCATAAACGTGAGTCAACCTTCAGACAATGTGCCTCTTAATCCCAACAATATCGGAGGGCGACTCGGCAGTTTGACCGCCATGAGTACAAATCACTTTGATCCCATAACTTCCTTGGCTCAGATGAGCCAGCAGCTGACCAACACGGCGGCCAGCAATTCGTTGGGCAACGAGGGACCCATCCACACTGGGAACACCGGGATGATGCAATTCGGCAACCCCCACGGGATGCACATGATGCAAATGAGCGCCGAGATGAACGGAAGCTGTCACATGGGCGGTCCGAGCAGCGAGCCGGGCGAAGTGGGAGGGATGTGCATGGGCCTAGCGGGACCACCGACCAGCTACAGTCCCACGACGTCTCACACGGGGAGCCCCGGCGTGCCTAGTAAAATGGGGCATCCAATTATGGGCCACGGTATGATGACCGGCCATTCGGGTAACGCCGGCGGTGCGTACCCGGGTGGCGATCCTCACGCGCCACCGCCGAGATTAATGACGGGACATCTAACCGGTCCCAGCCCGTACAACGGGGCGAACGTTCAAGTGAAACCCAGCGCTCCGAACACGATACAATACTTGCCAGCGAGGCCGAACGTCGGGCACACGCCCAGAGGGCCGCCCAGCCTGGACTTCCTTCAACGATTCACGAATCCCTTGTCTAATTTAGAGTCGAAGATGGCCACACCCTCTGTAAATCTTCAGTACTTCCCGAACGGTTGCGTACCAAATAGCATGGGCCCTCACGGCGGCATGCCGTCGAACATGAGCGGCGGGCTACCCGGGATGGGCGGCTCGCCGAGGATGGACGGGCAATCGATGAACCCGTCGGTCGGCGTGCATCCGTCTATGAGACCGGTAGGCAACATGAGACCGCAGCCTAATTTGATGCGAATGCAGCACATGGTTGGCGGCGGCGTCTTTCCAGGCAGCTCGATGGATCCAGATAAAGTCTTCCCGCCCGACATGGTGTCGCAGGTGCCCAACCAACCCAACCCCGGCATGTACGTGTCCGGCAGCAAAGGGAGCCCGATGGGCCTTGGTCCCCCTCCCGAGGCGACTCAACCGCTACCGCCGAGCATGGGTGGTGCTACTAGTAATTTCAAAAACAGCCCGTTCGTCGGTAGCGGGCCAAGCATGTCGGACCCGAACTACGCTCAACAATTCCACAACTTCCAGCAACAACTGTACGCCACCGGGACGAGGGGCAGCGGGCCGCCGCATCCTAATTTACATCCGCCGCCGAACTCGCATTCGCATCAGCAGTTCTTCATGCCCAAATAAAAACACGTTTGCTCGATCCAGGGAAGAGATAGATAACGATATATCGTAACGGCGATGATTACGATCGTGGTGGCCTTTCGCGGTGTCCTTTCGACGATTGCGTTCGTACCCGGGGACCGGAGCTTGATCCGATTCACCAAGTATCCCGGGAATATTTCTGGAGAGTGTACACTTTATTATTAAATTAAGCGATCTTGTAAAGGACAGAGAGTATGTCGAATTTGTTAAGGTTCTAATGTTGATGTGATGATAATTATCAAGAATAATTATACCGTAACCGTTTTACCGTAATGGTTGCAGCAACTGGCGTGTAACGAGACGCTTTTCTCGTTCAATTCTTTATTTACGGTGTTGTTTACGTACGTGTTACAACCGATAAGCGTCTTTGGTTCGTTTAATCGACGTTCACGGGGCCCGCGGCTCGAACGATTTATCCTGCGATAAGTTAAACTATTTTACAAACGTATCAGCGATCATTGTTGAGCGTAACAGGTCGTCGGATTACATTTATCGTTGGCTCTTTGCGGCACGAGAACTCGAGGAGCGATCCTCTAGGATCCGGAAGATCCGGACGACCTAGAGGATCGCTAGACTCGAGCAAGCAATTTTCATACTAGCTGGTTCCGAGTCGAGCAAAATTTTCCTCGGAATATCAAATGACGAATAAAAACAACGTATAGCAATTTAATCGCGACGTTTATTCAGAATAGTTAAATGTTTTATTTGTTCATTGTGAAATATTTTATTGTGTAATTAAAATTCGAATTTTTATTCAACGAGGAATGAATAAACAGTTGTGTGTGTATTTTATTCGTTATTTGAGCTTTTGATCTAGACGAGAATTTTGCTCGTTTCGAATGTAATAAATTGTTAAAGTGGTCACCGATGATGATCATCGAACGGACATTTTTCAGGTGACCTTCGCTTCTGTTGCAAAGAGTTCATCGACCATTGAATTATCCTTTATCAACGACGAGTTGAAAACATTTAAAAGTCGAAACTGTTTACGAATACATTATTTCTGTACATTTACAGTCAGTGTATTAAATATTCGTACAGGAACCATTTATTCGAAATGGGACGCTGTACGAATACTTTTTACGAATACTTTTTACAAATACTTTTTTTAAGTAAGAAATTTAACAAATATTTTATAACGAATACACGTCCAGAGGGATCTGGTACATTTTCGCGCGGATAACGAATAACGAATAAATCTTTATCTGGATAAAAGTTTATTCGACGACGTGTCGCTGATCGTTATTCGAACGAATGCTGTGCGATGGGAGTATTTTGTACTGTAAACACGATAGAATGTGTTTTACTTGGCTGACCCAGCGAACATTCTTCTTGCTTTCGCTGACAATTTTTTTTTAAAGTTCTGAAGAAATTGTAAAATGTATAGTGCGAAATACATGTACAAATACGTAATAATTTTAGGTTACGAAAGTCAGGTGCGAAAGGGTTGAACGCAATTGAATTTAAAATCTGTAAAAAGTGAACTTGGCATTTCAAAGCCAGCACTGTTTAGGCAAAAGTTCACTGAATTATCGTGTTTCCAATACGAGATGATCTATAATTCTCTGCTCGCTTAAAAAATTCATTCGACTATCGGTGGGATCGACTAACAAAATTTCTACCTAACTTGCAACATAATTATTTCGTCAGATTTCGAGAATAAATCTTCGTAGATGTCGTCGTTAAATACGTAATTACATTTTGTATTAATGTAAGGTAGACATGTGTTTGCTCTCAACTCGACAACACTCTGGAATAATCGTTGATCGTTGTTACGAATCGAAATTTGTACGAGTCTGCACGATAAATCGTTACGGTCCGTGGCTCCCTTTTTAACAACGTCCCCGCGCCCGTTGGATCTGTTCCGAATCGATTTCTTTTTCGTATCAGAATTCTCTCCAAGTAAATTCGAGACTTTTACGAAACGAGGGGGGGGAGAAAAAAAACCGAAAAAAATCGTGTAAATACCGATGTAAAATCTGACCCTTTTTTTGTTTGTTTTCGATAGCGATCGTTATTTCGTCGATCGGAATTAACGGTAGCGAAACCGAAACGAAGGAATAGAAAACGCACGAATACAACCGTTGCCGAGAGACTCGTGGATGATTTAAAAAAAAAAAAGAGAGAAAAAAAAGAAACCGATTAAAGAAGAAGAAAAAAACAAGGGAAAGTAAACAGGCGGATATATGTACTGTACCCTCATCTTCCTTTATTGTTCAAACAATTGCTCGTGATAAAGTAATTGTGCGAGAATTAACGAAGTATTTCGAAGGAGCGACGCGAAATGGATATACGCCGGTGAACATAATTCATCATCCTTCCTCTTTATCACTAAATACTTAAAAGAAAGAAAAAAAAAAAAAAGAAACGCAGTCAAGCAAGCTCAAATTCATAATTGTACATATATACGATATACATATTATATATATATATATATTATATATATTATATATACCTGTTGCAACATACTCCTTGCAGTATCGCCCGTCCCTTCACCTCCACCCCTCTCACCGTTCCCTCGTGACCAACAAACTGTGCATAATCATGACCCCTTTATCCCTCACCCACCCATCCCAAACACCCCCACGTAGTTTAACGATAATAAGAAGAAAGAAGAATAATTGACTAAGAACAATTATGTTGTTGATGAATGATTTTTATTATAAATGAAAAATAAAGATATTTACAAGAAGTCAGTATCAAGAATTGATCGAATAAATGGGTTTTTTTCGTAGCGGGGTATCTGAGAGGCGGGTCGTCGGAGTTTTTTTGATACGTTTTACTTTTTCGCCTGACGGGGGTCTAAAAAACGCGCGCAGCAGGCTTCCGACACGGCGAAACAAAATCTCAATGCCACGAATCTTTTCAATTACAAAAAGCAGGCTGCTGCTTCCAGCTTACTCGGATCTGTGATAGTCAAAGCAAGAAAAAAAAATGTATCCTTTTTCTCTTCATTCCGAAGACGTCAAAGACATATCTGTATTCATTAGGGAATGATTCCTTTTTTCTTTTTTTTTTTTTTTAAATACTACATTTACGGTTTCGTTTAATCGTTAGTTGTCGCGCATGGAAGAGAAAGAAAGCGAGCGAGAGAGAAAGTGATTCGCGTGGCGAGAGAAACAAAGAGTACGAGAGAACTAAAAAATTAAAAAAAAAAAAAAAGAAGAAGAAGAAGAAAAAGAAAGTCTTGTTTTCGAAGCAGCTCTTTGAGGCAATATCGAAGCGAATCGTGAGACGTGTGGATACGAGAGAGCGTCGTGCGTTTGTGATAACGTAATTAGAAGTTTTAAGATGTGGCAATGATAGAGAGCTTTCACGGAGACTTTATACGTTTGAATTAGTTAGAAATAAGATTTCTTCTACGAATTCGTAATGCAGCTATTACAACGAGTCGTGTAACGTCGTCCATAGAGTTATATTAGAATTACAGATTTTCCTATCTTTTTTTCTTTTCTCAGTGTTTCCTTTTTCTTTTCTCTCTCTCTTTTTTTTCTTTTCTTTCTTTACTTTAACTAGCGAAACAATGCATGCGCCTAGTATCTTTACGGAAATATTCCGTAATTACTATGCAATATTTAGGACGATATCGCGCAAATAGGCAACCTACATTTCACTCTCCATCCATAGACTCAACGAAGCTACGAGTTCGATCACAAATGTAAAGCTTATCGTTAATCGATTCCCCTTTGCAATAAGTCATATATTGTCCATCACTTTATCCAAAGGTGCTCACTAAATCACTAAATTTGTTGCGTTGTGTACATCTCTTAGTTCGCCGAGCAATTATTTATTCGCTCTTGGAATTTCCTCTCACCTGTAAAAAATCATTTATTTAACAAGCGATTATACTTTCATCCCCCCATCGGGTTTTTTCTAAGTCTATGTATCTTCCTCTTTGACCATGCCATTATAATCTAACGTCTACTGGTCTATAATAGAATACGAATAGAGTACTTTCTAAACGGCGCAAAGCAAAGCAAACAAAGTATCGTTCGGCAATCGCGTTACGATACTGCAAAAATTCATTCATCGCAATCAATTTTATACCCGAAACCCAAGTCAAACCTTTCCTTCTGCGAAGCATCTCAATGACTGGATGTTCCCGAATCGCGCCAGTCGTCTCTATCTCTGTAAAAACGTTACGATTGTGTAGAAACATTTGTCAACACTTTTCTCACCGACTAAGTACTTATACTTCTTCGAATCGTTTAATAATAATAAAAATTATCATTAACTATGTCAGCAAAACTTCTCCACAATTGTATAGTTCTTTTTTTCTTTTCTTTTTTATTTTACTTTACTATCGCTATTACCTTGATTGCTCTTCCGAGGACGCAGTGCTCCCATTTGTACTGAAAATTAAGAGTGTGTAATATACTAATTATAAAAAAAATAACAATCGTGTGAAAATTTACTTTTTCTTTAGCGCAAAATCGTCCCACTCGCTAAGATCGTATTTGGATAAGTCCCCGTCTTCTTCGTCCTCCTCGTCCTCCTCCTCCTCCTCCTCCTCCTCCTCTTCCTCGTCCACCGCCTCTTCACCTTCTGCATCGCCTTCTTCTTCTTCTACTTCCGCCTAGAATTCGGAATTACAGGAATTCCGACAACAAAAATAAGTAAACAGCCGCGCAAACATATTTTAACTTTACTCTTATTCACAAAGGCCAATGTTTCAATGATCTTTCGATGATGCTGTGATTAATTTTTAATTTCACAAGTAATCACGAATCCTCTCGTTAAAAACAAATCGTTAACAAAGTTCCGAGGTTCAACACGGAACAAAGTTAAACTATGCTCGTTTAATTCACGCTGTGCTTAATTTCCATATAATTACATTTTCCTCGTGTCTCTCCTCTTCGACAACCGCGTCCCTTTCGTCCTCGTCTTTCGATTTGTTACGCGGCGGACTGCTATACCTAGAGTCTTTGGAATCGTCGTCCGAGCGATTTTCGAGTCTCCGTTTCTTCCTGCGGCGTCCGAATTCGTCGTACTCGTCGTCGTCGTCTCTTCTTTCTTTATATTCGACTACCCCTCGGTCGTTGTATCCTCCTCCGTACCCTGTACGTTCCTCGATTTCCCCGAACTTGGGCGCGTTACACATGTTACATTGCTGTCTGCGCGCCCAGTTCACGTTTCCACACTTGCTACATTGCCAATCGTCGGCACTAGAACGCGAAGGGAAGATTTAACGCGGAGTCATTAAAAAAACAAGCAACCAGTCGTAAAAGCGTGGTTTAAATTGATTTTTACGTCGAGTTACTTAATCTTTGGTAACGTAGGATAAAATCAAACCGCGCTTACACGACTGTCGACGTACTTTTACCTTTTTAAAAAACAAGTAAATGCCATTGTTGATTTACAGAATCGTTTACTCACCTTGTCGCCGACCGATTTATGTTAGTTTTGTATATATTCAACAGAAATGTACAATATACTGGAAATTAATAGTGGTATATACCTGAACAATCCCCTACTTTTTTCCGCTGCCGCTTTTCCAATTTCTTGTCCTAATTTCTTTTTCTTAGGACATTCTCCTCTGTCTGCGCGAGAATATACTTTGTTAACGGATGTACACGCACGGATAAAATTACACAGCTATAAAACTATGGTAACATTCGTTTACTTATTAAAAAACTGTTTCATACATTACCGTATCAAATGTTATATACCTTTTCCGCATCGATTACAAGAGTTTCGTCTTGCAAAATTTACATTGGCACACCTGAAAGATTAAATACTTTTAATGCGTCTCGGATATAAGAACTGCCATAGCAACGACTGAACAATTTTCTAACGAGCCCACTTTAATTTCTTTATTGTAATTCTCATTCAATGATATATTATTCCAATGGATTTTCTTTGATATCCAAGATTTATATAACTATAATATAACTTTCCTTTGAACCTTGAATACCATGAATGTCACAATGAAAACAAATCAAATTTCAAGGTGTACTATTTAAATACTATTCGTATTCTAATCGACTCGTTTAATAATCGATGATTGCGATCGTGTTATAACCCGTTTGTTATTATTTACCAAATAATAGTTATATCGACATAGAGAGGTCAACGACAAGTAGCCTGTTGTGTACAAAATTTAATCGTAACATATAAACATGGTCTAACAGGAAGAAAAAGCTACGTGATATTGTACGAGACGTTATCGTGTAATTACGTACTGAGAATCGGGGCAAATCCAGTCCCCGTCATTAACGCTACGTTGACTATCCTCGTCTACTTTACTATTATCCATTTTGCGTTCGGTTCTTATCGGCTGCAAGTAAACTCGACCGACTATTTCAATCGTACTTGCATTTGATTCTCAGCTGGACGTTCCTTTTTAGCGTGTCTAACCTTTACGATGACGTTACTTATTCTAACGCAGGTGTCGCGTGAAAAAAGAATGATTTTCTCTCGCGATCTTTCGGCGTGCTGCTCTTTAGAACGTGTTATAAGCGCTACCAGCTATCGCATTAGTCGCGGGTACAAATTGATGCATCGAAACTATGGAGTGCAGTACGCTATAAGTGCGACATTAACGGCACAATCACAGCCTTCGACCATGAAGTACATGGACCGCTCAAGCACGCTCAAGCTTCATAGTTCATAGACTGAGCAAGACTGAGCGGAGCGTAACCAACATCTCTGTACAAAAAATGAGACTCGAAGCAAATGCGCATTCGTCGAGTTCGAAAACTATAGCAAAAATTCCATATCTGTGACAGGATTTGACCAATGGTCGAAGAGTAGTTCAGCCAAGTTCAGCAAACTGTTTCCCCACAGCTATCGCCCATTGACTGCAGCATTGACTGACAAATTTCCCTTCAATTTCCTTGCAATTTCCCTTCATTTCTTGACACATTTCCCTTCAATTTCCCTTCATTTCCTGACACATTTCCCCTTCATTTCCCTTCATTTCCTGTGAC